AGCTTTTGACCACTATTTTTTTCATACTTTATAAATATTTTTGTATTAAAAAGTTGATCTAGAAAATAGTAAGAAAGCTGTCCCAAACGAAGCTTTAAAATTGCGCTTGTCAAGTTGTAATCATATTGATAAATCTTAGCAAGTGATTTTTTATGCAAAATTCTACAACAACAACATAAGTTTTTTTTTTAAAATAAAGCTATCTTAATTTTCAAATTTAGTTAGCTAAAAGGAAAATATTTTCTATTTCTTTATCAATCTATCCAAATTATATTTACATTCATAAACTATGTAGTTATATTCATAAGAGAAGAGTTTCATTTAAAAGAGAGAGAGAGAGAGAGAGAGAGAGAGAGAGATAAGAGTTTCATTTTCGAGTCTAACATAAGGAAATAAATAAATTTCAAAATTTATATTGCTCTCATCGCGTAGAGCCGTAGAAGCTCAAATATTTTATTTTGTTCCAAACTAAACTATATTTCTTGAACTCTATTCGATATACGCTCGAACTCTATTCGAAATACATAGCTCATCTTGGTCTATTGGTTGGGAGCTCTGACTACTAACCAAGGGGTCTGGGATTTGATACTTATATATATGATGTGTGTGTGAATTTATCTTGATTGACTTAAATATCAAAAAAATCCTTAAAAAAAAAAAAACTACGGAGTTTGCTCCAGTTAAAATGATTTCACTAGTATTTATAATCAATTACAAATAGTGCCCTTCCGTGGGGGGAAGGCATTGACTTAATGTATCATATAGAGTACATTACACAGTGCGGTTAGATGAATCCATTAATAAGGTAATCATTCTCAAGAGAACATTGGCCTGTTCATTTAGTTGGTAGGGTTGTATTTGGGCAATAGAGATAAGAGGAACCATAGTCGGTGGATGACGGTGGTCGGAGAGACTGTAGTCAGTAGGAGACGAAGGTCAGAGAGACCGTAGTCGACGAGCGATAGTGGTCGGAGGGACAGTAGTCGATGGTCGATGGTAATCAAATGGATCGTAGTCAGCGGGTGACAATAGTTAAAGGGATCGTAGTCGACGAGCAAAGATGGTTAGAGGGGCCGTAGTCAGCAAAGACGTTGGTCCATGGATGATCAAGGGGAAATCCGGCTACTGTCGACAACCTGGTTGTAGTCCGGTAGCAGTTAGCGGGTAGGAGGTGGTCCAATAATAGCAGGCAGAAGTCTGGCGGTGGTGAGTAGCCGGATCATTGTCCAATGACTGGGCGGTGGTCTGACAATGGTAAGAAGGAAGTCTGGTGGCTGAGCAGCTATTTGATGATTGTTGGGCAGAAGTCCGGCGACAATCGACGAAGGCTCTCAAACAGTGGTGTTAGAGCACTTGAAAACTCAGAGCTCTCTCCAATCTCTAGCCAAAGGCCCCCCTTCTTGTAGAGAGTGGAGATCTATTTATAATTTTCATGAGTGACACACCCCGTAAATATAAAAAAGATCCGTGGCATGTTCAGAGTGCTCCATCAAATGGCCCATATTGATACCCCTGCTCCTAGAGCATTTTTTAAGTGTAGAAGTGCCTTAAAAATGCCATAATTTAACGATCTTAGGCTCGTTGGATTCATCTTGTCGATCTGCTCGATTCGACTATAAGCATGTCACATTTAGATATCATTTTTTCATCCAAAGAATGCTTTGAACCTCCAAATATGCTTCATACTCTTAATTTGAACCCATTTGGGCTCGGATATGACCGATTTTAGTGTCGTTTGGTTCATCTATTCGAGACTTTCAATTTGACTATAAGTATGTCAAAATTAGAGTTCAAATGCTCCCAAATTAAATTTTGGAAGCTTCCAACTTGAATATGCCACAAGATTCATGCACGATCAATGCAATTTTTGGTGATGTAACAATCACAAAACATATTTTTGATCGAGCAAGAATATCGATGCATATTATATTGAAAACCTCTAAAATTAAATAATGTACCGTATGAACTCTGATTTTAGCATATATTAGTGGAATTAAATGTTTCAATGAGATGGACTCAAGTGACATAAAAAATGTTTCAATTCGGGCCCAATTGAGCCAATTTAAGGGCCCAACACACAATTTAAAACTTCATGACATTAATTGGATGGTAAAATGGCCTCCAAATTTGGAATGCATATAGTTGAATTGAGCGGCTTAATGAAACGAATCTAATGAGTCTAAGATCGCATAAATCTGACTAAATTTTTTATGATCAAAAGAATCAATATGAGTCGACTGATTTAGTGTTTCGAATTTGCTCCAGAATTTCTCCCTATTTATGTGGTTTTCCACTCTCAAAATCTATAAATAAACATTCAGTCTTTGTATTATGGGGAGGCTTAAACCCTTGGCTAGAGATTCAAGTAACCTCTAAAGCTTGAAAAAGCATGGAGCTTCCCTACCACCACCATTAGCAAACCCTTGTGACTTGATCGCTATCACTAGACCTCCGTTTGACAGATGCAGCCATTCCTTCTCTAGGCTAACACCACAGACTTTCTTTAACCAACCATCGACATTAGACTCTCATCCACAACCAGTGATTATCAAAACTTTGCCATCCAACTATCACCATAGGATCTTTTGCTGGCAAACCATTATGTTAGGACCACCGTCACCCGATTATGGACTTTCTGGCTTATATCACCCACCAACTATGGTATCCTCTGAACATTATCACCCAGCTATTATCCTTGGATGATCGTTGCCTGACCATGGTCCTTCTAACCTCTATCGCCCATTAACTACTTTCCTCGAACAATGACCATCTAATTAAAGCCCTTCCTACCTCTGCCACTCGATTATGATCATCTGACCTTTGTTGCTCAACTAAAATCCCTTCAACCTCAGTTGCCTAATTTCAGTCTCTCCAACTATTGTCAGCTAACTATGTTCTCATATGACCTCTCTGACCACCGCCGCTAGATTATGGCCTCATTGACCTATGTCTCCATACTACAGTCCCTTTGACCTCCCTCTCCTTGATATGGCCCCACCATTTTTTTTCGCTCGACTATAGTCTTTTCAACCATGTCGCTTGACTATGGCCCCTCCAACCATAGTCGCCTGATTGCAGTCTCCATCATCCGACTTAGGTCTCCCGACCACCATTGCCAAACAATAGTCTTTCTTGTCATTGTCGCCCGACTACGGCCTCTTCAGACAACTATTGCCTGACTATGTTCCCACCAACCTCATCTCCCAAATTAGTCCCTCCGACCTCCATTGCTCGATTATGGTCCTTCCAACATTTATTTCCCCAAACAACGACACTACTAACCTCTATTACCATTCGATTACTATCCTCAAACTACCACTGCCCTGTTATATTCCTCGAATAATCCTCGCCCTATGGCCACAATCACCTTACTATGGTTTTCAGAACATTATCAACTAAATATAGTCTTCCAACAACTGTCATTGAGCTATTATTCTTTCGACCTCCATCACCCGTAGACTATAATCATCTAATTTCTTACACCCACTAGCTGTAGTCCTCTAATCGCCATTGCCTGACTACGATTATTCCACAACTCCCATCGTTTAATTATGATTCTTGGATCATTGTCGTCCAACTACTATCTTCTAACCATCATCACTTAATTACAATCATCCAAACTTTAATGTTATAACCAGTATCATCTGACTACTCCAATACCTATTGACTTCATCACTTCTATCACTAATAATGTCAATATATGTTATCACTTATAAGATCGATGCACAATATTGACATCAACTCTGACTCTAAACTCTAGCACTTGGATATATGCTGAATTCCTGCTAGAGGGCTCTTTCAACTTCAACCATTTAAAACATTCTTTACATCATATCAATGGCATCCCTCGATGAAGGCTTCACTTGTAATCAAATGCAAATACTAGTAGAATCACTTTAAATGGGCTAGATCTCATGGTTTTTAACTTTTCTGATTTTTTCACATAAAACTTTGGTGTTTCTTTCAAATTTGGCGTTTCTTATCTTTTTGTAATGCTAGGATTTTAAACTTTATATCTTTGTATTGCCACAAATATTCCAACTCGTAACAATAATATTTAATTTTCACGGCTTCATCCAATAGAATATCAAAGTCAAATTCGTTGTCCTTAGCTCAATGCAACATATTAGATAATTAATCGATGAATGCAACCTGCAAATCTTTTTTTTTTAAATCAATAAGTAATTGTATTTTTATTGACATCTTACAAGAGTATGACATTAAGATATTTTGTCTGAAAATTTGATCATGATGAGTTTTAAAATTTTTAATTTTAATTTAAAATTAATATTGCTATATCATCAAAAAATTATCCTAATCGGGCACGAATCTCGATGCAAAATTAAGTTGGAAACTTCAAAAATTCAATCGGACCGATTTCAACATTATATATATATATATATATATATATATAATATTTAATTTAATAAATTTATTTAATGACTATAATATATGATGTAATATTTATACTTTTAATTGTATATATCATTAATTCAGTAGATGAGACCTTAATTTTTTTTATTAAACTCTCTTAAATTATCTTCAAAATTCTCCTCATAAGCTCTTTTTCTTCTTATATTATTTCAATAGCGTGATCAAAATTTTTTTTATCAAAGGAGATTAGCCAAATAGTTTATAAATCAATCCACTAAAAATAATTTATAGGGATTAATATTTTTCTTATTTATATTTAATGGTGTTAATCCAAATTCTTTTATGATATATTTAAACATATACCATTGAATTCAATAATTAAATAAAATTTTCTTTTTTTATTTAAAATTTTAAAATATGAATTCATATTAATTTATTATTTATCTAATTAATAGTTCACTTATTAAAACATACAGTAAAAAATATTTTTTTTGGGAAATGTAAAAAAATAATTTTTATTTTTTGAGAATTAAGTAACGGCTATAAGGGGGCATTTAGGTAAAACGACAGCAGCGAGAAATAAAACTAATTTAAGAGTGCGACTGTGGCGGAGGACGACCGAACGGACTCTCTTTCTTTCTTTTCTGCTTGAAGCGTCGAAGGGAAGCTGAAGGTTTTAGGCGGAAGGCAAGAAATCAAAGAAGCGACTCGGTCTCTCTCTGCGCTCAAATCACGCCGGAAACGATGCTGTGGCTGCTGTGAAGAATCAAAGGTTGGTGGGCTGCTAGGGTTTTCTCGCAAACTCTCCGTCCTCCTTTTACTTAATTGTTTTTGTTGTTTTTCTGCAAACATGCCAAGGTTAACTTATTATTAATTTTTTTTTTCAATTTCTGTGATTTCTCTTCACTTCTTCCCGATTTGATTTTGTTCGCTGAAGCCGCTCGCTGCAGCCTACAGTCTCCCGTGCTCCCCACTCTCGTCAAATTATAATTTTTTCTTCCCCTTTTAAGCCTAAATTCCTACTTCAACTTTTTATAGGGTTTGCAATTCGTTTATCTCTCTCTCTTTTCTCCCATGGACGCATACTCTTCTTTTACATACCTCATTTCTTTCTTAGTTGTTGTCGTTTTTCTTCTTGGCAGAAATTACTGTGTCGTCGGCACCACTGATTCTCCGATTGGCTTCTTCTCATGTCGGATAGTAGGTTGCTCTTCCTCCTTTCCCTTTCTTTCCTCTACGGTGTTCTTCTCCTCTCTACAGTGTTCTTCTCCTCTACTCCTCTCTGCTTCCTTGATTTGCATAAGAACCATTACCTCTTAACTGATTTCCTGAAAAACAAACTGCGTTTCAGGGTTAGCCTTTTTCTTATGATCAATAAGTAGCTTATCAATTTTCGGCAATAAGTAGCTTATCAGGTTCTATTACTAAGCTCAGGTAGATCTCCTTCCTACAAGAATAGTGGGTACAACATAAAGAATTGGGATGCCTTAGAGTTTTTTATTGAGTAAATGTCCAAGATAGTTCATAGACTTGTAGGTGCATCTATTTTAGTCTCAAATTCTTCTAAATTTTAAATTTAGTCCATCAAAATATCAAAATTTAATCAAATTGGTTCTATTGTCAATTTGCCTTTCCTTTGATCATTTACTAGGTTCTTATTCAAGATTTAGAATTTTCCTTTTATTGAGAATTTGTAATGAGAAATTAACATTTTCATTTTTTTTGCATAAATAGGGATTTTTAATATCAGATTGGGAAGGCATTGATAGGATAACCACGCCTGAATTCTAGCAGGAATTGACATGGTTAGTTAATCTTTTCTATCACAAAATTCATAATACCATTATTTCATCACAAAATTCATAATAGCATTATATCATGGGTCCTTAAAACTTCATTGTTTTCTCTCATTTTGGTTTTGGAAAATGTTTCAAATAATGATTCCATTTGACTATCCTGTAAATAAAATCATCATTCTTCGAAGACTTGACCACTCTTGTAAATAAAATCATCATTCCAATGAGCAGAATTAATGATGCTGTTCGAAGAATTCTTCGGACAAATATAAAACACGGTCGAATTAACATATTTTGATCAAATTTTAGTTAAGATGATTAAATCTATACTACTATTAAAGTGTCGCTTATGAATCTTCCCACAACATCCTAAACGTTCATTGGAAAACCTTAAACGAATCTCCATCATTAATTTGTTTTTACTTTTCGTATTTCTTCATATAATCCCATCTTCTGAAATGGCGCATTCCATCTGTTCACGACCGACCTAATGTCTAGCTTTTCTTCCTTTCATTATTCCTTCTTTGTATCAATGCATCCCTACATACCACCAAATATTCGTCTTTTCTTCCTCTTGTTATTTCTTCTTCATATCAACGCATCCCTACAAGAAATGGTGCATTCCGTTCTTATATACAATTTCATCTACTCGCAAGCAAATCTCCCACAGATCTGTTCTTCCTCTCGTCGGTGCCTGCAAATGTTCTTCTCGCCGAACCTACCAACAATCCCCATTTCAAAAGGTGAACTTAATAATGCCTCTTTTCAATTTCTTAAGTTGATTTTTTTTAAAGCCATTGCTTATTTTTTATTTTTAGAAATCAATGCTTCCTTTTTAGATGTGGAAATGGTTAAATTACTCATTTAAAAATATAAAGCTTCTTGACTAAAAGTAAATTCTCCATTTGAATCAATCTTAGTGATGTAGCCCAATCAGATAAAGCAATCATCAAAGCATGATATTCTCGATTAAAGCACAAACCAAAACTCAGTGTTGTTTATTTTTATCATGTTGAGAACTTTGATTAGGATGTCGATCTCATCAAACAATTTTCTAAAATTTAGTAAAAGCTGAGAGATGGTTATGCTACTTTTACTTCAATGATGCAATCTTGTTCTTCAAAAATTGAATTCGTGTCTCATTTGTTATTGAGTGGAAAAAAGATCCACTCAACAAATAAGTTAAGTTCAGGTTTTTTCATATTTAATATCTAAAATAATTTTGAGGAACTCTAGATAAATATTTGAACTTCCTAAAGTAGCATTGTAGGTTGTACATATTTGTTACACATATCATTGTGTTTATGTACACAGAAATCCCAATACTGTTTTAGCTCATGTTAAAATAGTTGATATTAGCTTACCTCCATTTATTAATTTAGTTAGATAAGACCTGCATTTATTACAAATAGCTTGCTTCATATGGTTCACTAAAACAAAACACAAAATCTTATCAGAAATGAGATCCATAGCCTTTATTTCTTTACTGAACTTTATCTTTGTTAGTTCACCTTTGTAATTCATAAGTCAAAGCCCTGTTGATTTATAGAAAAGTTTGCACATTAAATTTATCAAGTTAGCCTTGTAATGAAACTTTCATAGTGCATGTCTTTACTATCATATCAAATATTGATTGCTTATTCTTTCTTTTATTTATTGGAACACAGGTGGGGGCTTGATAACCTATAAAACTAGAAGAGGTATCTATCCATGACACGTTTATTGGCTTGTGGGAGTAAAACAAAAACTGAATGCTGTTATAGCTTGATTCATGGTTTGATCCTAGGAATAAAGGAGTAAACAAAGAAGCCCGAGAATTGAACTTTTGCATCGAATGTGCAATAGAAGACATATATCAAATTGCTCAATCTTACTAATCTAAGTGAGTTCAGAGCGGATGCCCATCCAGCAGTTTGGTTAGGGAAGAAGGATGTCGTCACTATATGGGGCCAGGATTTCATGCATTGGTGCCTTCCAAGCTTACCTGATACATGGGTGGATATTCTGTCAGCACAAATCTTGTACAGTTTGGAAGCAGGATGATGAAAGTGGCACAACTCATTTATACACAATGGTAATTTATTCTTCTAATATTTAGCTTGGTTTATGTTCCTTAAGCAACCTTCATTACCATAGAAGTTTATGCAGATTGTCTGTTTAACTCCTCATCTTTGTCTCAATTGAGCAGATTTTTCCTATATTGAAGCTTAGAGTTTGGCAAGAGTTAGATTATTATATTTTTAAGATTGTTGATTTATTTTCATGAATTTGACTAATTGAAATAGTCCCTATGAAATATAGATTTTAGGAAGAGTACCATGCTTGCTCTATTCGGTTCTTGGCCAAATTAATACTAGGAGAAATAACTGAAATATGCTTGGTTCCATCATTTTTGAAACTACACTCTACTAGAATGGGATTTGAACTAAACCGAGTTAGAACTGATTAATTCAGTTAGATTCTCATGTTAAAATTTAGACAACCTGCTCATTTACTTAGACAAAATCATTTACTAGCCAACACAGGTGCATTTATATGCAATGGCTCACGTGCATTTATATGCAATGGCTCACGTGCATTTATTTTCATGGACCAGTGAAAGGTATCGTCTTTTTTTCTACTTTTCCTACTTTTTTTTTTAATTGTCTTCTTCTTGCTATTTGGTATTTATATATTTGTATTTGATCAATTATAGATTTGTTTGATGTAGAGAGTTCTACTTTTTTTTTTCTTATTACCTATTCTTGCATGCTAAATTTTGCTGCTTGCTCGATTG